CCACTCAAGTGTCTATTTTACAATAGTAGGCAAGGGAAACTAATATTCATAAGGCAGTCAAGGATTTTAAGGTTTGGGTGAAAACGAAGCGAGAATGAAAAGGGATAGAAATTAATGCTGACCCGAGGAGGAAGACAGAGTTTATGAGGACTGTTAAGTATAAGCATACTGTGGGCCTATAATAGTTACGAGGATAAGTCAAAAAGTACTGCTACAAAGTCGTTGAAACCTTTATTTAACAAAAATATTAAAATGTGAAGCAGTTGCTTCCCGGCATACCCTCTATCTGGGTCTATACACTTCTGAAGGCAGTTTCCAGCTCTCCAGCCCATCCCGGAAGAATTCAGTGCTCCTCCGATTTACATTATGTCAAAATGGGAGTTTTGGGTCCACATTGTGTTCCTGTCAATGTTCTTTGAGTTTGGGAAACAGAGATAAGTCTGAAGGGCCAAGATCAGAGCTTGGATGGGGTAAGGCTTCCCAACGAAGTTCTTGTTGGGCAGCCCTTCACCAATACGTGTTTAACTTAAATACGTTGTGTTTGGACTAAACCCTGCGTGTATGAGCTAGCACCCTAGTAGTCCTTTTTGACTTACCCTGGTAGTTACAGATTTGAAGCGGGGTGTGGAGCTAGCCGGAAGGAGGTAGAAATGGAGGAGTGGTTGGCAGCTTTGAAGTCTGAAGCCTGCCCTGAGATCCCACCACGTGTTTCAGAATCCCAGTATCCATTCGGAAATCTACGAGACAGCTAGTGAGACCTGCGCCTCCTCCCCCTACGGACGTCCCTTGAGGACGCAGCCACCCTCCACCTCTCCCAGCAGTCCTATTGCACCTGGATTCTATTCCGTCATCTCCGTCACTCTCCCCTCCGCCCTTCCCTAGTCCTTGCAGACGGGGACGAGTTTGGGCTAGTGAGAGCACACCCCCTAGAGAGGCAAAGAGGTTGACTGCGGACCCGGATGCGCACTCACTTCCGTTTCCTGGACCGAGGGAGAGTCTTTGTCTTCGTTCAGCGTCCACTACAACATCGCTTGCAAGATCACCACCTGCTAGGTTCCCCAATCCCATCCTTGGACACCAATCCGGAGGAGAGGTGAGTCAGGGGACCTGACTTCCACCCTTGGAATCTGATGCCCGGGACGGGTGAGCGCAGGCTGGGGAAGTTCGCTGTGGGCGGGCGGGCAGCTCTCCAGCTCTGAAGAGAGGCTGGCGGGAGGAGCGCGACGCTGCGAACTGGTGAGTTTCCCTCTTGGGTCTTTTTGGTTGTTCTTTATCTGCCTAGAGCCCCAACCCACCTGTACTTTTCCAATTCCCTCACACTTCCCTGCCATTCCAAGCCCTGCTCTCTGTCCCTGCCCGCTTTCTCAGTCACTTTTTACTTTCGCTCCGCACTGTGGTGGTAGGAGGACATACATCTCTGATAGCAGGTAGATACCATGAGGGGCACACTTGAGAAAGTGGCTACTCAGAAGCTGGGGAAGTTAAGGAAGGCGGGTTAGGGGAGAGAAGATGGTGAGAGGAAGTGTTAAGGAGATGGGATGGGAGTTTAAGAAGCCGAAGCTGGAACTAGTGGAGCTTGATTGGGGAAATAGAGAGTGAATGGGGAAAAGATGTGAATAAGGGAGATAGTCCTTAGATGTGAAATTCATGAAGAAAGGATGGAATGGGGGTGGGTCTCATGAATGGGCTCTCCCCTAACTTACCATTTCCCTATCTTCATCCTCCACAGACAAACCATGGCTTCCATGCACTGTGCACCTGGGGCTCAGGTGAGAACGTGGCCTCTGGATTTCCTCTGTGTGTGTGTGTTTGCCTTTGTGACTATTTCTGTGGTGTGTGTATACTGCTTTTCCTTTTTGCTCAGTGGCTCTCAGCCATCTCTTTTCCTTCACTGCACCTCACAAGCTCGGCCCCTTCGTTTCTGTCTAACTGCACAGCTTAATCCATTTGAAGTATAGTGTTGGTGAAGAATATTAAACATACCATGGACTTCCAGAAGAACAACAAATCTGTCTTGGAAAACATATACCTGGAATGCTCCTTAGAAGCAAGAATGGTGAGACTTCGTCTCACGTACTTTGAACATGTTATCAGAAGGGACCAGTCCCTGGAAGAGGACATCATGCTTGGTAAAGTAGATGGTCAGTGGAAAAGAGGAAGAGCCTCACTGAGATGGCCTGACACAGTAGCTCCAACAGTGGGCTCTAATAGAGAGTCACAAATGTGAGGCTATTGCACGACTGGACATTATTTCTTTCTGTTGTACACAGGGCTGCTGTGAGTTCGACCTGACTTGAGAGGACCTAACAACAACCAAAGTCTCAGGATGAGCTGGGTGGAAGGATCCATTCATTGGTTCCTTCAATAAGTAGAAGCAATAGGAATGCAATGGCCAGAGAACTTGCATGGGCCAAAGGAGACATGAGTTTTTATTTTAGCTCTGCCACTATTTGTTGTTGTTATTAAGTGCCGTCGAGTCGGTTCCAACCCATAGCGACCCTGAACAGGGTTTCCGAGGCTGTAAATCTTTACGGGAACAGAAAGCCGCAACTGTCTCCCGCGGAGCAGCTGGTAGTTTCGAACTGCTGACCTTGCGGTTCGCAGCCCGATTCGTAACCACTACGCTACCAGTGCTGCCACTATTTAGTCATGTGAATTAGGACAAACTGTACCTTCTCTAAGCCTGTTTTAAAATCTTCAAAATGATGGAATTGAACCAGATGAGCTCACTTTTCTGCTCAAAAGCTTTAATGGCTCTGTAATATTACGATTCTATTTATTAAACCATGTTGGGTGTTTTATTCAGACCTGCCTTTGGTCCTGTTTTCTCTCTAGGTCATTTTGCCTTTATCTGCTTCTCATGCAATCTCCCTCTTCATGTATTTGTATCTGGCTGCCCTCTCCATGCCTGAGTGTTCTTTCAGTCTTTCAGTCCTTTATGCGTCTCATTGTTGGGCTCTCATGCCATTTCAGGGGCTGCTGACATTTGAGGAGGTGGCAGTGCGTTTTTCCCGGGAAGAGTGGGGGCATCTTGATTCTGCCCAGAGGGCCCTCTACAGGGACGTCATGTGGGAAAACTACAGAAATCTGACTTTTGTGGGTGAGACTTCATTTTTCATTCCTATTTGAGAATCCCTATTTTTGTTCAGCTTTTCATAGGTTTTAGCACTATTCATTTCCATGAATGCTCTCGTCCCCAAATCAGATAATGAGCAGGGATCGATTTTGGAGTGGTCTGATAATGCAGTATGTTTTTGGTCAGTATTATTCTCAAAGACCATTCTGGAATGTATAGGACAACTTAGAACAATGAATGATAGTTCCATATAACTTTTCTCTTGAAGCCTAAACTTCCTTAAAGCAGTTTTCATTAATTTGCTAAGGATGTTCAGAAAGCCATGTCTAGGCCACTATATTGAAAGTTCTTGGGGGAGACAATCACTTTTGTCACTCAGACCAGAAGCCACAAATTCATTAGCAGAAACAAGCTAATAAAACAGGTCAGGCATTCACTTATACTTCCATTTTCTTTATCTCTTTTATTCATTTGTTTATCCCTCCCTCCTTTATTTCTCCCTGCTCTTTTTTTCTTTTTTTTCCACGTTTTTTTTTTTTTCCCTGTTCTTAATACCATCTTAGCCATGAAAGTGTCAAACTATAGTCCCACCCAAAGGCATACAATATTACATTTTTCCTATTGCATTTTTATTACAAACACATTTTTTGTTTGTTGTTTCCCGAATAGTCCCATGGAGTATGATTTTTCTGATTATACAGAAACCCAATATTATCTTTCTGACATTGACAACAAGGTTGTAATATGTAGAGGGATGTAGTTGATTTCTGTCACAATATCTGTTACTACAAAATCTAAACTTCCCCTGCAGTCTTCTCTGGCTCCACCATCAGTTATCATACATATTGCAGTTTGGGTTGGGCATTCACCGATCAGTAGACATGGCCTCTGCCCTCCTGGAGGTTACCATCTGGCTGGCAAGACAAGAGGTACATATAGAAAAACTACATGTTAAACAGAGAAGGCTGGATATTGTCAAATGAGTGTTTTAGAGCAGAGCTACTCAAAGTGTGGCCTGCAAACCAGTGGCAGTTTGTTACCAATTTGTGATAAGTACATACATTGAGAGAAAGTGGTTAGATGCTTTTATAGCAAATTGACTTTACTACAGGATCCAAGACTGTGATAATTGGACTCAACTCACTGAACCAAAATACAAAAACAAAACTAAACTTCGAGTCCTTTACCACAGATAGTTTGAGAAGCATTGGTTTAGAGAATTACAGAGAAGTGAAGTAGATAGTTAAGGATAGCCTCATGGAACTTGTGGCACTTGAAAGATGGATAGAATGTACTGTGGAGACATAGGAAGCAATGAAAGTAGTATAGGCAGGGAGAAAGGTAAGAGAAAAGGCTCTAAGGAAGATGCATTCACTGAAAAATGGTAAATAGATCAGCCTTTCTGGTTAAGTTAGGATAACATGAGAAGTTGGGGGTGGTTATGAAAATTGGAGTTAGACAAGTTCAGTAATTAAACTACATGGTCTAAGTCATCTTTGCTTCCAACCTTATCCATGACACTTGGTTTTGTGGCCATGGATAGTCCTTCTGGATTTTTGAAAGTATAATGAACCAAATATACCTAAGATATATGGGAGGTCGACATAAGTTGGTGGGAGGGGTGGTAGTTGAAAAAGATGGGCTAGACAAGTAGAAGACTGGCTATCCAAATCTTGCCGTTTAAAGTGTCTGAGAGTAAAGGGAAGGATAGCTGTAGATAGTTCAGTAAGAAATTTTTTCTTTTCTAATTGACCCAACAGGATTCATCTTTCCTAAACCTGAACTGATCTCACAGCTGGAGCAAGGAGAGGAGCCTTGGGTTCCTGAAGGTCCAAGACCTCCTGACCTGGGACTGATTCCAACCTTTTCTGCAGGTAAGAGGACTGGACCCAAAATATAGCAATTTAACAGTAGGGAAGGTTGATAAGTATTCAGTTTTGAGGAGGACGGTAATGAGGGAGGGGGAAATAAAATCTTCTCATTAAGTTTTTATCCTTAGTCATATATCCTCTTTCCAGTGTACTCATCCAACTGTGTATACAAAGGAAATTCAATGTTGCCACCCATGTTTCTTTGCCTTTTCTTGTTTCTGTCGTCAGTCCTTCTCTTGATGGCATTTGCCATGTATATATCCTCTTACCCTGGAATTGTCATCTTGCCTCAGTCTCCCATGCTACCCCAAATGGCTTTCCATTTGCAGGGTTTATGTGCACTGTATATGGAGTCCTGGTGTGGCGCTGCGGGCCAATGCTCTGAACTACAAAGTTGATTTGAACTGCAAGGTTGGCAGTTCATGCTCACCAGTCACTCTTGGAATCCCTGCACAGGATCACTGTGGGTTGGGACAGACTCAGTGGCACTTAACAACATAGCTATCCCTGAACCCTCCAAAATACTTACCTGTGGAGACCTCATACCTCAGCCATCTGGATCTTGATGTGTTCTAATTCTTACTCTATGTGTTCATTTAGCGAGCATATGTGGACTGTACTGTAGGCTGGAGCTGTGCACTTCCTCACCTCTGTCTGCATGTCACCAGAAAGAAAGGTGTCGTGTGGAATGTGAAATAGATTTAGATTGGTCCCAGAGGTATAAAGGAGATGCAGTGATTTCTCCTTTCCCCTACATTTTAAAAAATAAAACTTACATTTTTCTAATATGTGATACCCACTCACAATGAATACAAAAGTGTGAAAAATTAATAACACCCATAATTGCACTGCCTGATTTCTTTATATTGTGTTGTATTCCTCACAGACTTAAAAAATTTGTAGTGTAATAGAGGTCTAAAGACAATGTCTTACAGGAGAAAGGTGAGGCTTTGTGCTCCCGCAAAGATTTACAACCTTGGAAACCTTATACGGAGTTGTTATGAGTCAGAACCAGCTTGACAGCACTTAACAACAACAACAAAGACAATGTCCATCTTTTCTATGTAGCTCAAAATGTCTCTAAGGATGGGACTGTCAGCAGCAACAGGAAGGCAGTAGAACCACAGTCAGCTTCTAGGAGAGGTGTTGGGCTCTTTACATCAAACTTGATACTACGATCAGATCTTATACTTTTATTTTCTGACAGCGGTTCTTAGTAATATTTTGATGCTCACTTAAACTTGAGGCCATCTGGTAGTTGTCTTGCAAACTCTATTTATTTGACACCGTGGAGATTTTTTAAACCCACATGTTTGCTTGGGTTAACTGTTAGAGGAACTTTGGGGAAAAGGTCTTTCTACCCTAAGAATACAGAACCAGAAAGATCTGGCATTGTCCCTGGCAGGTTGGTTATATGGTGATGTGACCTGGAGAAAGCACGAGGAAATACCATTCTGGTATTTTGGGCACTTTGTGGCTTCCTTGGTTATGGTAGTCAGGCAGGTTCACTGATTTGCCACACGTCTGAGCTCACACTGAGTAAATGATAAAAACACAGATTATCATCCTGCATATTATATGAGCATGTGCTTTTTTCTCATGCTAAGAAAAGCTCATTTATTTCATGACTTCTTAGTTTGAAATAGCGAAAACCTGTTCTACCGTCATAGACATCCCTTCATCTATCATTGTTCCCCACCCTACTGAGAGAAGGCCATCCTTATTTATAAAGTTCCTCTGTAAATGCACGCCTGTTGGTGTGTAGATATGCTTGCAATTGCACAGTTACGTACATTTCGGTTTTATTTTTGTTTGTGAGTCCCTGCACTCATGGGTAGGTTTTAAAGGAATGCACAGCTAATGGATACATGTTAAGTGTAGGTAACGGGCTTACTTCTCCAGTCTTCTTGCTAGTGGAAAAGAACAGTTGCAAAGACAGGAAAAAAAAGACAAAGTAACCAAAACTAAGATTGTAGTTTCTGTTTGGCTATACTTTACCAGTACTTTTAAAAAGAATTTATTAAACAAGCCTAAAATATGGTTTCAGAGTATCTGAACATATTTTATCTCAACATGCTTAGAATCAAAATAGTATTTGTAGATATTACTGTAGACTTATTAATGTTGCTATGCACAAGAAATTGTTTTAAGTGAGTTTTCCATTGCAGTTCTGTTCTTTTCAATTCTAAAATTTCCATTTGATTGGGTTTTTTTTTTTGCAAGGGAGGAGAATTTTTATGTCTTTTTAAAAAATTTTCTATTTGATGAGCCATGTCAACTTACTTTAAAACATTTCTATTCTCCCTTTTTTTAAAGCATATTTATAAAGTATTGTTGTTGAGTGCTGTAGAGTCAGTTCTGACTCATAGTGACCCTGTTTAGGGTTTCCGAGGACCGGTGGGTGGGTTTGAACTGCCTACCTGTAGTTTCCAGTCCAGCGCTGATCTACAGCACCACACCAGTAGTCCATGTTTAGCTGGCCTGAATCCGCTACTACGTGTAACATCTGGACTTCCTGAGAGAAAGCTGTTACTGAATTTGTTCTTGTATAAGGGCCACACTTAACCTGCTTGTTTTCATGCCACGTTCTTTTTTACTGATGAATGGACATTTCTGTTCATCTAGAAAATCTAGATGTGGATTTTCTATCCTAAGGGTAGCTGTTTCTTGTTGTTGTTTAGTGACTTGCTTGGATGAATTCTCTTTGTGGTATTTCTCCACAGTGAGTGACCACTTATGCTTCTGCTCAGTTTTTAAAAAATTCTTGTCTTCATTTTTTCATTTCCATTTGAAGCCTTTACCTTGGACCAGTGTAGCTTTTTAGTTAGCCATCGATTGGTCACAGTGTCTGCTAAAGTCAGTTTTCCACTCATTATTGATAGATTTTCGTATTGTGTGCATTGGGGAATGTCTTCAAAAGGTAGACCATTTGCAAGTTTGCTTTAGCTTTTATTTCCCATGTTTGCAAGGCTTCGTGTTTAGCCTGAGATGAGTTGCTTGCTATTAGTGTATGTAACCTTGCACACTCATGGTGGTGGTGTGCCGTGGAATCGGTTCTGACTCATAGCGACCCTGCACAGGGTTTCCGAGACTGTAAATCTTTACAGGAGCAGAAGGTCTCATCTTTCTCCAGCGGAACAGCTGGTAGTTTCGAACTGCTGACCTTGAGGGTAGCAGACCGACTTGCAACTACTATGCTACCAGAGCCCCTTCAGCCTTCCAAACTTGCAAGACAAGAGCTATTAGCACGGTTCATTTGGGGTATTTTGTTCCCTAGATCTTCCTGTTAATTTCTGGCTAGCTTACAGGTGTATTGTTTTCCTTAATTCATTTGGATATATGGAATGGGCAGGTGGAGTTGTTGGCCTTATCTGATTATTTGCCACTGAGAGCACTGTTTTTGACAACTCCCCTGGGCATGGGATATTTCTGCCCTCTCCCTACTGGTTTTCAGGGCCTGCTCTTCCCTGGCAGAACTTTGAAGCCATTGAACCTGGGTGGGTGATGGGAGCAGACCCAAGTAAAAATGCCTTAGGTTCTGTTATTACAGAGATTCAGTAAATATTCTTGAATAAATGCTTCTCAGTTTTGTTTGAGGTCTGTGGTCAATGTCCAGTCTTTGCATGGTTGTTTTTGACCATCCCCTCTCCCTCCTTGCTGTAATAATTACGAGTGAAAGAGAATTAGGAAGTTACCCCTATTAAGATAAAGTAGAAATAACTGTTTAGATTGAGTTTCTGGTGTGAAGTCAGGTCACTGATCTTGAAGTCATTATGGATGCCTTGAAGGTGTGTATCCCTTTACTTATTCAAGGGTTCCATTTAGCAGATATTTAGTAAGCTTAGGAGGCCCTGGGTGGTGCAGAAGTTTAGCTGAAAAGTTTGAATTCAATCAGTAGTAACTTTGAAGAAAGGCCTGATGTTCTACTTCTAGAAAATCAGACATTGCAAATCCTAGGTACCAGTTTTACTCTGACATACCTTGGGTTATGATGAGTTGGAGTCAGAGTCTTAACAGAGATCTGTTAGGATCTGTTAAATATTTCCTATTTCCTTCACTTTACAGTTGAGGAAAGAGAGTTGTCTAATGGGTCCAAGGTAGCCTCTACACTAGGGCACAAATCTTCTGATTTGCATTCAAGGCCATTGTTACCCATTTCTAAGGCTGGCCTCCTCTCTTCTTTGAAGGTGACAAGCCTGAGACCTCTCCTCTGCTGAAGAAGGACTGTGAGGCCGGGGACTTCCAGCGACTCCTTTTCCAAGTGCGGCCCAGTAGAGATGAGCCCTCCCAGGAGCCTCTGGACAAGGTTCTGTATTGGCACACCTCTGAGGGCAAGGAGCTGATCCCTTGTGCTGCTGTTGACTGTGCTTGGCCCCCGCGTCCTTCCCTGGACCCGCCCAAGCCTTACCAGTGTCCACAGTGTGGCAAGGGTTTCAGCCACAGCTCCAACTTCAATCGCCACTGGCGCAGCCACGCAGTGGAGAAGCCTTTTCAGTGTCCCAAGTGCAACCAGCGCCTGAGCTGGAGCTCAGACCTGACGCGCCACCTGCGCACGCACAGCGGCGAGCGACCCTTCCGGTGCTCGCTGTGCGGGAAGGGCTTTGGCCTCAGCTCAGACTACGCGCGCCACCAGCGCACTCACACCGGCGAGCGGCCCTTTGCGTGCCCCCAGTGTGCGCGGAGCTTCAGCCGCAGCTCCGACCTGGCCACGCACCAGCGGGTCCATACGGGCGAGCGGCCGTTTCGCTGTGCCGACTGTGGCCGAGGCTTCAGCCGCAGCTGGTCGCTGCTCACACACCAACGCGTCCACACCGGGGAACGGCCCTACCGGTGCAGCGACTGCGGCAAGTGCTTCCGAATCGGCCAGGACCTAGTCAAGCACCGGCGCACCCACACAGGCGAGAGGCCCTTTAAGTGCCTAGATTGTACCAAATGCTTTAGCCACAGCGCCAACCTAATCACGCACAGGCGCGTGCACACTGGCGAGAAGCCCTACAAGTGCCAGGAATGTGAGAAGAGCTTCAGCCAGAGCTCGCACCTCATCATCCACCAGAGGGCGCACACGGGCGAGCGCCCCTACCACTGCGTTGACTGCAACAAGAGCTTTAGTAGTCGCTCCTACCTCCTCAAACACTGCAGGGTCCACAATGGCGAGAAGCCCTATGGCTGCAGTGTGTGTGGGAAGCATTTCAGTCACAAGAACAACCTTATGACGCACCAAAAAGTGCACGGGGCAGACAGGCAGCCCAGGGTGACACCCTGTGGCCTGACTGAGCCTGGGCCTGGATCCTGAAGCTCTTCTCTGGTGCTGGGATTTGGCTCACGGTGAGGAGAGCAGAGGCAGCCCATTTCCAGAGGCCTAGGTTGGCATGTCACTCTTCTCCAGTGACAATTGCCAAGGGAAGATTTGGGGGACAGTGGAATGGGAGTGGGGCACTAGTTTCCTCTAGGCACTATCTCTGGTGATTTGCTTGCCCCCCATGCAAATACCTGGAGTTGCACGGTGACTGATTGTAGTCTTTGTGACTCCGGCCTTTGCTCTTCTTGCCTTAGAGCTATTCCCAGGCCCCCAGAAGTATGGGAACTCCAGCGAGTACAAAGCAGCAAAGCCTGGATGCTTTGGTCCCCAGAGGACTATCTGGTGCATAAAATACTGAGCAGAAGGAAAGCAGGTTATATGGGGCTGGAAGAAACCTTTTTTACAGTTTTCTCACGACGTTAACTCGGTCTCCTAGCACCTCAGTGACTCATTGGCGTCTCTCTGGTCTACCACATGGATGATGTTAAAGAGGAAGGGAAAGATGCACCATTTTGAGGTGGGCTACTTTCTATGTTTCTATCCCCCAAATGACTTTCTGAGCTGTGAAGCTTAGATGCCTTCATTTGCATCCGCCCATCAACTTGCTCTCTCCTCACCCAGATCTTCAGCTTTCAATGTAAGAAGCCAAGAGATTCTGAACTTTGGTGACACAGCTGATGGGGTCTTCACTGAATTCACTCTGTCCTGCCCCAGCTGGTGGAGTTTCTTGCCCAGTTCCCATTGGGGCAAGATGTGGTGGGAGTCTGGGTAATTGGAAACGTACACACAAACCAAAAACCAAAAACAAACCAAAAACCACTTCTTTATGGAACTCAGGGTTGAAGTCAGATACAGGTGGCGTTAACTTTTCCACCACCTCTCAGCACTGTGATGTTACCTCGTTGAAGAGTGTTAAGTGTTAAGTTGTGGGTGGAAACAACTCTTTTCTCAATCCCCTGCCTGGAGAATCAGACTTACTAGAGATGGAAGTTGTTCCCAGATACCACTGGATTCACCTGGAGAGAGGAGTCTGCATACCTACTTCCGTGGGCACCAAGTACTCACTGCATCAGGCTGCCTTTTCACTGGAAGAAAAAAGCCAGTTTCAAACTTGTGGAGGCCAGCATTTGTCTTTCCAGATGTGTTATTTGGGCCAGCCCCATTTTTCTGTGCTGATTTTGGGAATTAGTTGAACGCTATTGTTTACAAATAATTTAATCTTGGTATTCTAATTCTCACGAATGTTTCAGAAGCTACCAACTTTTAGGCAGAAGCCTTTTCCTTTAGTAGTGCCAATAAACTGAAAAACCAAACCCACTGCCAGCCAGTCAGTTCCAACTCAGTGGTTTCTGAGATGGTAAATCTTTGTGAGAACAGACAGCGTAGTGGAGGTTACCAGTCCATTGCTTATCTGACAGTGCCACCATGGCTTTAATAGTGCTAATGTTGATAAGTGCTGTTAAGTCGGTTCCGACTCATAGTGAGCCTGTATAGGGTTTCCAAGGAGCAGCTGGTGAGTTTGAACCACTTACCTTGCAGTTTGCATTCTCCGCCAGTACCACACCTGAGCGGCAGTCTTTACTACTCAAACAGAAGATCAGATTTGTTCTGCCATCTTGTGGCCAAGTTGGGAAATTGCATCTTCAGAACTGCATACATTCTCTGATCACTGAAATGTGGGAATTTTGCCTTGAACTCAGGACCCAGGGCCGTGGTTCTCAGGCTTTAGCTGCTTCCATGAATTGAATACAGCTTGATGGCAACGTGATTGGTTTTCTACCCACAAAGTTCCCAATTCAGTAGGTTTGGGGTAGGACTTGAGACCTTGCATTTCTAAACACTCAGATAATGCCATTGCTGCTGATCCAGGAACTACGTTTTGAAAACCCTGGTCCATTGCAGTAAGCGGCCATTTGTTTTTAACTCCCAGCCCCACTACTACAGATTTCCACCCCACTCAAAAGGTAATCAGGGTCTTCCAATGTGTGTACAATATATCGGCAAGAAGCCGAGTCCTGTGTTAGATGTTCTCTATAAAATTGTCTGTTGCCCCTGTATTTCAGTGGGGAAAGCTCAGAAAAGTGTTAGGAAGTAAGAAGTGGAGGTCAGGTCTTGCTTATCTAAGAGGAATCCAATTGTTTTGATTGGAGTAGCTTGTTGCTAGGTGCCGTCGCATTGGTTCTGACTCATAGCCATCCTGTGTACAACAGAATGCAACGCTTGCCCAGTCCTGAGCCAGCCTCACAGTTAGTGCGCCGTTTGAGCCCATTACTGCTGCCACCGTGCCAGACCATCCCTCCAACCTGAGAGGCTCATCTTCCGGCACAATATCTAACAATAATCCTCTGCTATTCATAATATGTTTATTTTCTGGCCCTATATCTGACATAGTTCTGCTACTATAAGGTTTTAGTGACACATTCAGAAGTAGTCCTCTGCTTCTTCCTGGTCTGGAAGCCCTGCTGAAACCTGTCTGCCATGGGTGACCCTACTGATATTTCAGGTACTGGTGGCATGTCTTCCAGGATGATAGTAACATGCAAGCCACCGCAATACGACAAACTACCAGACAAGTGGTGGGAACCAAAATTGTGACATGGTCAAAGTTGGACTTTGCACTGTACCACCCTTTAAGATCCTTTTCACTGGTGGCTTTTCTTTGGCTGTTCTTGTCTCTGCTTATTTTAGGTCCAAGTCCTGTGAAACCTTGTTCTTAAGTAGAAAATCATAAATGGCTCAGGTACTGTCTTCTTTTCAGAAACTGAAGTAAAAATAATCTGTGACCAGGCATGTTGCTGAAGGCCCTGCCTGAGACACTGCAGCCTAAGATGCATTTCCCAGATTAGATGCTGGCTGCTTAGATTCAGCTTACAGAGGAGTGCGCGTTTACCAGAAAAGAAGGTGGGCAGAAAGCACACTGGATTTAGGTAACAGGTGTTACTTGATCTCTCGGTCCCTCAGCCTTGGTGGAAGTAGATCTTGACCACCAATGGATACTTCCAACAAGTGACTCATCCATGTATCATCCTTTTGTTCCTGATGAGCACACACATACACGTCTTCTCTGCTGAAATTCTCTGTGAAAAACAAACCTCTGCCTGACTCCTTGGAGGCTCAGGGTTGTAGTTCAGAATTGAAAACTTGCTACTTATTTTCACTGGTATTTTCCACGTCAACCAAATCAACATGCTCGTATTTGGCCTGGGTTAAAGCAGTGCAGGAGTTCCTGGGTGACACAAATGGTTAAGCACTCACTCAGCTACTAACCAAATAATGAGATCAGCCCCAGGTATGCTGTGGAACATGCTTGGACTCTGCACCACATGCAGTTGCCATGAGTTGGGATTGACTTGACTGGAACTGGGAAACAGTTCAAAATCTCTTGGTAGTGATGGTAAGAAGGAGCATTCACCACCCTCTTTGATTCTTGATAATAAAACCATTTGCATGAGTAGAGGGTTCTTAAGGAATGAAGCAAAAGAGAAGCTGGAACCCAACACAGATCTCATCGGACCCAGACCTATTTATTGATGATAACGCTAAAAACCAGAAAGGTGATGGGATGTTCCGTGTAAGCTATAGTAGCAGAGTGGAGATACTGAGCCAAGCCTTCAGTTTCAACTTAGGGCTCTTCCATTCACTGATTTTTTTTTTTTTTTCATATTGATGACACTTGTTTTGTTCAAGAAAGATTTCAATGTGCCTTACATAAATATACAGCAAATGAGTATTAGGCTGGAATAAACAGGAAAAATAATGGTGAAACCAGAAGTGAGGTGATTACTCCAAAAAGAATACTCTGAGGAAATGCACACATTTCCTGAAAACAAGTTATGGATTTGACTAGCTGACTACCATTCAAAGAGGAAAAAATGTAAAGGTCTTAAATACTATTTCTAGGTATTTAAAAAATAATATATATGCATATATATATATATGCATATATATATATATAAACATAAAACTCACTGACCTTGAATCAATTCCAACTTGTATTTAGCCAAGAGAAATGAAGGCATACAAAATCTTGTATACACATGTTTATAGCATTATTTGTAATAAAAATTGGGAACATTCCAAATGCCCATCAATAGGTAAATTGGTAAGCAAATTGTGATGGAGTCATACAGTGGGTACTTATCCACTGAGCAATAAAAAGGAATGTGTTCTTGATAAAGTAATATGGGTGGCTCTCAAAATAATTATGCTGAATTAAAGACAGTAGGCCAAAAAGAGTACGTACTTCATGATTCCACTTACATAATTTCGAAAATACTAGCTACTTGATAGGGACAGCAGATCTGAAGTTGAGAATGGGGGGTCCAGGGAGGAATGAAAGGATGAGCTTACAGTGGGGCATGAGGAAAATTTGTGGGGGATAAATATGCTCATTATGACATGGGTTTAGGGGTATGTGCATATATGTAAAATTACCAAATAGCACACTTTAAATATGTGCAATCTATTGTATCATGAAGCTGTTAGAAAAAATTACTGCTCTTGTGACCAGAGACAATTATTCCTGTGACTGAGGTAGGAGACTAATTTTTCTTCTAAGTTTCATAATGTTTCTTGTAGTCTTCCTCAATGTCTACCAATGGCAGGATACCAGAACACGGTTTATGAAGGTGGATGGAGATAGGGTGTAAAATGCCTTTTGGGTGTACAGTGCGCTCTGCTGGTCTGCTTTTCACCCGAGGCTAAGATCTTAGATGAGAGGAATAGCTGTACTGTCAACCCCTTGAGCAACTTGTTCCTCTCAGCTGAGGTTTAGATAAGCATTGAGGAGCAGTAGCTTTGAGGTGTTACTCATTGGCAAGCCTATAGACTGTAGAAACATGTTGGGGGCTGGATTGAATGCCTTTGAAAATCAAGGAACCAAATAGGATTGCAAGAAGGGTCATACTGCCACACTCGGGTGTTCTGAGGAGTGACCACTTGCCTCCTTAGTGTTTTCAGTATTTTTCTACTTTGCATTATTTGCTGACAATTTC